GGTCTTTGTGTATTTTATAACTACAGAAGTCTGATCTGGTCTGATCTGGGATTGAAAACAGCTCAAAAGAAAACATCCTAACTAAGAGCCCGTTTGGTAACAGTGAAATTGGTTGAATTGGCTGATTTTGCTGAAATTTATGAAGTTCTGATTGAAGTGGCTGAATTGAATGATTCTGCTGATTCATAAAAAAATATGTTTGAAATATTTTATTAATAACATAAAGCAAAACACATGAAAATTAACTAAAATGATCATGTACAATAGTTTTAGCAATACAGTCAGAAAAGTAAGTCAAATTTTATTTTTTCTTATTATTACACAATTCTGCTAGTCAAATAAAAAATTACGTATTTGCTGAACAGTTGACTAATAATCCCGATAAGCCAAAAAACAGAGTCACTAAACGAGCTCTAAATGACCAGCGTCTTAGTAATTCAGAATTATAACCCATATATGACATAATGAATCAATTGTGTAGGGGTGAGCTAGTATGATAGAGTGTTGCGAGTAAATTTACCCTAAATTCCAGGGTGTCTCAGAATATAAAATTTGAAAGAATTTTCAAGTGGATAGGATTTGTGGAGTTTGTTAAAGTCTGACAGAAACGTAAAATGATAAAATAGAAAATGTGGTATGAAAATTTGTGCATAGGAGAAAATAAATCATAACAAAGTTAATGGATGTGACAAAGTTAGTGAAATAATAAAAAATGAAAGTTAACTATAGTTAGTGGAACAACACAAAAATGATATATTTATAAGATCGAGAGTGGAATTCTATAACATACACAGGAATATAAGCATACGAGGCATGATTTTGTAAATAATACATGTAGTATTTTTAGTTGTTTTTTGCTTTTTTACGTAGTAATCCATAAAAATTCACTGAAATTTAACATTTAAGAGAATTCATAATATCCATTGACATAAATATTACCGATAAGTGAATAATTGAAAAAAGTAACATTTTTTATTTTAAAAATGTGACTAATATCACATTTATAACGCTACAGTAGTGGTTACATCCCTCATGTGACACAATGACTTCGGTTGTAATGACGCGGAGATTTCAGCTACAGTAACACCGTCACAGCGACAGTGTCACAATGACCTCACCACCAACCACAAGCCCTAAGCTCTCAACTATCACAACCTCTTGTCACCACCACTGCCCATGTTCTGCCCATTTCGCTGCGCACCAGCTTCCCAGCCCCACTCCTTGTCCCCAATCCCCCTTCCCTACTCACTTGCCTCGCCTCAACCCCCTATCCGGCCAGTTCACCTAGAAGTCTACCCGTACCACCAACGTTTCTCCATGAACCCTCATTGCACCCACGACAATCGTTGCGACCCAAAATCGGAGTCGTCATCTATCGAGGATGGCAGATCCAGCATAAGCAGCACTCCATCGAGGACCGCCTCCACCCTCTTATGTTCCTGACCCAAGCCTTAGTCACAGTCGTCGTCGTCAACCCACAAAAAAACTCTAGTTGCCACAACGTAACTAGCTATTTACTTGCCAACAGATCTATGCCAAATCGCCATCTACGAATGACCTACTCTACTTCCGCTATTTTAGATTTTCACCACCCCTAATTGTACAAGCAAAAGAGAAGAAGAGCAAGAGAAGAAGAAAATGAACGTCTAACATTATTGACGGCATTGAAGATGCAGCACAAGCGATGAAAAGGGCATGGGCGACGAAGACGACAACTATCTCCCTCTTTCCGTTGCAGATAATGGACGTCATCAGTGGTTTACCTGTCGCTAATCAGGCTGAAGCAGAGGAGCAATTTAGAGTGCAAGGAGGGTTAGTAATCATGGGTAGGGGCATCTCATTCCATTAATATACTCCCTCCAACCTCTATAATTGACCCATTTTTTCATTTTTTGATGTCCCCTTTTTTTGTCTCATACTCCCTCCGTCCCTATATAAAAGTATCCATTCATTTTACACACATCTTAAGAAAGTGGGTTTGGTTGGTATTGTTTGGCATTGTTTGGACACTGTTTGACACTGTTTTGCACTGTTTTGTTTGCCAAAAAAGGAAAGTGAACTTTTATTTAGGGACGGCCCAAAAAGGAAACAGATGCTTTTATTTAGGGACGGAGGGAGTATTTGGTAACATTTGTGTGACTCTAATTCATTCTTACTTTATTATGACTTTATCAACCCATTATTGACCACATAATTTTACTTTTTTTAAAAAGTTAAAAACCACACAACTCTCTTCCATTCTAATTGCAGGGATGAAGGTAGTATTTTTTTGGATCTACTTTTCTCATAAGAAATTTGATCATATTTTTATCAACTAGAAACTCTAAAAGTAATAGAGAGTATTTGAATGTTGTTTTATACTTTCATGAATGAAAGAAAGCATTGGAATTCTAGGTTGTGGACCCTAACATTTATGACCATTTTAAAATCCCTGCAATTCTAGAAGACACCCCATTTAATTTACTGGCAATGCGTTATTATGATGTAACGAGTGGCCTAGGGTACAACTTTGGTCATGGGTCAAGCTCAAACTACAAGAGCATTATGACATACGCGTAGGTATTTTCTTTATCATACTCCGTACTTTTTTCTTTTAGTCAACAAATTAAAGAATAAAGATTATGTGAATCAATAGATGAGATAAATGTCGAATAAAACAGGAGTACTTTCTCGGTCTTTTTTTAGTTGTAACCGTCAACATTTCACGTTTGCCAACGTACAATTTTGATTGTCATTATATATAATTCTGTATTAGTAAAAATAAAATGAAAATCAGATTATAAAACTTAGTAATGAGACGAATTTAACAATATTTTTCAAAAAAAATAATTTACATACATTAATAAATAAAATATAGTCAAAGTAAAGTACATGAATAGTGTATATATTCCAATTTTGTAATTAATGCGAAGGATAGTACTTCCTATTATGTCAATCTAAATTACAAATCTACGAATATGTATAAAGAAGATATGTAACTACGCATTATTTATCTAAATCAATTTTAAGGACATTGTAGTTGATTTAAGTATTTCAAATAGAGGGGGTAACATAGTTATTCAAAGTCTACTTTAAATTAATATTATCCGTATGTTGGTGATGTGAGAATGTTTCTTGGAGTGAATGGTTGATTAATTAGTAAGAATATTTGCTAGAATAATCCAAGGTCAACATTCGAATCCAAACTATTTAAAATTATTTTAAAAATTAGATCTTATCTTTGCTCCATTTTATGGGGTTTAATTCACCAAATCCCCCTATGATATGGAAATTCGGCACATTAGCCTCCTGTGATTTAAAAAATGCGTCAAATTCCCTTGTATTTTAAGTAATTATGCAAAACAATCCCTTCTATGAACAAATTCAATTATCAAATATAAGAAAAATGATTAACATTTTTGTATGATTTAGAGATTTTGACATATTTACTTGCATATTCAATCAGGATATTAGGAAAAGTGATCTCAAAATCATTAAATTTAATCATAAAAGGGGTTTTGTGCATGATTAATTAAAACACAGGGGGGTTTGACGCATTTTTCAAATCACAGGGGGCTAATGCGCTGAATTTATATATCACAAGGGGAGTTGGTGCATTAAACCCCCATTTTATGTATCCAAACTATGTGAAATTATTTTAAAAAAATAGATACTCCTTCCGTCCCATAATTAACTTCGGTTTTGACTGGGCACGGGGATTAAGATAATGAGATTTGTGTGGTGGAGAGTTGTGCAGAGGAGAGAGAAATGTGTAAGAATGGTTGTGAACCACATATTCTTTACCAAAAAGGGAAAGAGGAGATAAATTTGGGACGGCCCGAAAAGGAAAGAATGAAGATAATTTCGGGACAGAGGGAGTATTATGTTTGTTACACTTTATACGTTCTACTTTGATTTGGCACAATTATAAATAGTGTTGAAAAAGTAAAAATTGCAATTGAGATGTTGTAAGTCACATATTGTAACTGATATGTTGTAAGAATGTTTTTATCTGATCTTATATGGTCAGTTAAAATCTGGTATGGTCTATTAAGTCTGATCTGAACTGATTTGGTAAATGTTCGATCTCTATGTATTTTATAACTATAGAAGTCAAGTTTGATCTGACCTGTTTACGTTCAACCCGATCTATTTAAGTCCGATCTGATCTGTTTAAGACTGGTTTGAAACTTAAAACAATGCCAAGTACATGTAAAAATATCCTAAGTCACATACTCCATATTAAATTGTGACACTTGTTTTTGGATAACCCAAAAAGCAAAATAAGAGAAATAAAATTAACAAAAGGAGTATAAGGTGTGCATATCGAAAAACAGACGGATTATTTATAGAAGATGGTTTGATAGTTTTTCTTTTAGATTATTAAAAAGTTGATTATGTTGCAATAAAGAATCACAAAAATTAATTTTTTGAAGATAGAGAAACTTATATTGTCCTGTCTATTTTGTTCTCCGTCCTGATGATGATACAAAAAAATTTTATTTTAATTTTCAGAAATAGTTTTGCATTTATTATTTTAGACATGATACATTTAGCACATTTACCCTTGATTTTAGATATTTTCAATTTAATTAAATGTCTTATAGCGGAAAAGGCAAAATAATAAAATTAAACTTAATTTATTATCTATGCTATTCCCTCCGTTCCTATTATAACTTCCAACTTTCCTTTCGTCCGTTCCAATTAAATCTTCTACTTTTCCTTTTTGATAAAGAATTTGTGGTTCACAACATTTCTTACACATTTCTCTCCTCTACACAACTATTCACCACATAATACTCACTACTCACTATCTTTTTGTGTGATAAACCTATTTGAGAAATGAACTTTTTTAGATTTTGAGAGTACCATTTAGAAGTGATGAATCGGATAGAAATTGAAGTTTGTTTTTTTGACACGATATTTTAGGAGCCTAATTAGTCTCTTCCTTCCGAAGTTTATTTACTCTTTCCTTTTTTTAAGAAAGAATTTGTGATTCATATTCTTTCCTCTGCAGAACTCTCTACTACGCATTTTTCACTTTATTAATCTGTGTGTCATTTTTGCTTCATAAAAATAAATTCAAAAAGGAAAGTGCAGAAATTTAAACTACACAACTTTAATACAAACCGCAGGAATTCAAAAGGAAACACTTCGTACAAAATTCACTATCAAATTCTAGGTAACTTGAGAACTTAAATTCCTCTTTAATTTTACAATGATTTCCCTCTAAAAAAATTAACAAAGACAGATTAAGATTACTCTAAACCTAGATCTAAAATTCTAGACCAGTGGCAAGGTCTCGGATCTCCACAAATTATCACCCCACCCGAAAGTAAGATCCGAATGGTCAAATAATCCATCCAGAGCTTCGTACTCGCCATCATTGACTGTGCTAAAGTTTACCGGGTCGGGTAATCCGAACTCGAACGAGTCATAACTCGGTATCTGCCCGTCCATTCCCCAACTATCGTATTTCAGTTCAACCGGGTCGGATGAAACCCAGATCAACTCGGATTTCTCCGGTTGCTGCTCCCCAGCTTGAGACGTTCCGGCCGGCGGGAGGCCAAGCTCGTCGTCCGAGGCTCCGAACAGGTAACCGAGATCCGGCAGAGAATCGCCGGAATCCGAAGTCAAGTCGATAATTTCCACCGCCTTGGACGGGGAAGGCGCTATCTCATCCTCGAAACTCTTCATGAAGGATTCGAGATCCTGACCTTCCGTCCAGAGATTCTCTTCGTCAAGGTCGTCGAGAAGGTCGCCTCGGAGCTTTTTCACATCGGGAGAGCCGTCGCTGAACTCGTCCGAGTCATCTCGAACTCGCTTATTGCAAGTCACTTCTTCCATTATGGGGATGAAGAAACAGGAAAATAGAAGTTGAATATTTTATTTTTTACGTTTGAAATTCGTACACAAGAGAGAGAAAAGGAGGAATGGATTGGAGAGGGAAGGGACGGAAAGAGGATTATATAGCGTAGAAAAGGAGGAGAGAGAGAGGGAAATACTGCGAAAGTTAGAGAGAGAGAGGATGAGAGAGACGTAGGCGCGTGGGCGGGAATACTGAGGAGATCGGGTCCATTATCGTGTCACGGGCGCCTCGTTCTCTTCTTTAGACCTTTTCGATTCATTACTCCGAATTAAACGTTTGCATCACAGATTGGGGTTCCTTTTTTTAGAGGATTTTTATTTTTAGTAATTACCTCATTTTAAGATTAAATGGAAACATAATTGCATAAATAATAAGACTAAAATCTAAACATTTCACAAATAAAATTAAACATTAATATTCACGGTTAATGTCCTCAATTTAATTACTACATCAGTCATTTGAACAAATGAGACTGGTGCGGTTTTTAAGAAAAATAAAATTATGTAGTTGATAATGAATTGATAAAACGGGAATAAAGTAAAAATGAATTAGAGTCACGGAAATTATACCAAATATGAAATGAAACAAATATAGCTGGACAGACGAAAACGAAAAAATAGGATAATTATAGTGAGACGGAAGGAGTAATTGATCCCCCGTTCCCATGGAAACTGAGTAGTCGTTGGCAACTGTCGGCGGCGATGGAGCTCCGCGAGTCTCCCGGCGTGAAACTGGCAGAAAAAACCAATTTCAAAAGTTTGGCCGGAATCCGGCGACGATAGGCAGGGAAGCTGGGGATGGTTGGTAGCCGACAGAGGACAGTGGTGGCTGGACAATCCAAAAAGCTACAGGGGTATATTAATACAATTTAGGGGACTAAAAAAATGTAGTCATATTTGTGTTTTTAGCCAAGTTTTACTCTTATTTAGCTAAATCACTCAAGGATTTTTTCTTATATTTACCGAGTACTTCCTTCTTCATTAAATACGGAGTATTTCTTTTTAGACTTACACAAAAATGGCTTTGAGCCAAATTATTTCTAAACTTTCTGCCCATTGGCATGGCCAGGCCCGACCTGACGCCCATGAAACGAGACTAACCACATGTACATTCCCGAATGTAAGAGCAGGTCTGAGAATACACCTAACCGCCTCGTGTGGGAACCTTTAAATTTTTCAAAATTATCAAAATAACTTGTAACACTTTAAAAACAATATTATAACATTTTAAAATTTGTTAATATGTTCAAAATGTTTATAAGTCTTTCATGACATGCATAAAAAATACTCGCACAAAATAATCATGGAAAACTATAACTAAAGTTTAAAATTCATGCACAAAGTGTAATCTTTGATTATACGAATATACATTTGTTGAAACTAACCCAACACGAAATATTAAATATGAATATAAATATGTACAAACGCTCTGTTTTTATGTGGAAACTCGAAAAAAGAAAACCATGAGACCTTTTGGGTTAATGCGAAGTCAATTTCTTTTCAATAGTACTCTCCTCACCATTACATTGCACAATAATTTAAGCCATGGAAGCCATTAATGACGTTATTGAGCTATTCTAGAGAGAAGATGAGTAGGAGAAAAGAAGAAGTCAACCCTTAACATGGAGGGAAAGTCTCCTTTAAATAGAAAAAATGGGAGGCAAAGCTACTCAAATTGGCCAATACGGTCCGTCCGATAAGCCAAAGTAGGCTACAAGGGTCAAAATGGGCTTCACGACTTTGTATGAGAGTAATGCATTGAACTTCTCAATAGTAGTAAATCATGATAATATATTCTAACAATATTATAGGTTGCGCTAATTGAGAATAATTAGAAACTTATATTTAGAGCCTGTTTGGTAGCATGAAAATCGGCTGTTCTGGCTGATTCTGCTGAAATTTATGAAGTTCTGGCTGAAGTGGCTGCATTGGCTGATTCTGCTGATACAAGAAAAAAATATTTTTAAAATATATTTTATTAATAAAATAAAGAAAAAATTATATGTAAAAATAGCTAAAATGGTCATCTACAGTAACTTCAGCCAATACAGCCAGAAAAGTAACTCCAACCTTACTTTTTCGGCTTATTACACAATTCAGCGCGCGAAAGCAAAATTTATGTGTTTGGTAAAAAAGTTGGCTGATAAGCCTGATAAGCCGAAAATGAGGGTTGCCAAACGGCCTCTTAAACTTAATAAACCATAAATATTTATAAAGATTGTGGGTCACATGCATGTCTACTTGTAAACGAATAAAAAAGTTAGTATATCTTCAGGTCTTTGATATGAGAGTTGCTCTCACCTAATCGACTTGAAATTATACGGTCTTGCTTAATTAGTTCAGATCTAGTTTTTATTTGATATGTATTTTATTTTTATTTTGTAGATACTTACGTAGTGCTCCCTCCGTTGTCCATCTCCTTATAATTGTCCCATTTTTTCAGTTTTGTCCTATACAATATTTGATAATATTTGTGTGATTGTAATTCATTCTTACTTTATTTGATTAATTGTCAAAATAAAATTAAAAGTTGGTCATTTTACACAAATAGAACCAAAAAACAAAGGGAAAAATAATTAAGACCCCAAACTTTGAAGGGTTGTGAAATGAACACCCCAAAGTTTCATATGTAATTTAAATACTTCAAACTTTATATAAAAAGTTATTTTAGCACCATAGTCAAGTATTATTTTCTTTCAAAACTGTAAATATATGGTGTTAATCGCATAATTTAAAATATTTTACAATTCATGAAGACACAATTAACTTTAAACTTTCATTGCGAAATTAATAATGTTACCTCAATCTATATAATTGCAACACTTTTAATTTTCTATTTTAAATAATGCAATTAACCCCATAAATTTATATTTTTTGAAATAAATAATGCATGACAATGGTGTGAAAATAACTTTATATGTATAGTTTGGGGTATTTAAATTACATATGCAAGTTTGGGGTGTTTACCTCACACCCCTTCAAACTTTGGGGTATTTTTATTATTTTTCCCAAAAGCAAACAATGTCTGATAGGACTAATTATGTGTGTGTTGGACAAATATACCTTTGTAGCTATTGAAATGTTTTAATTCACAATAAAATAAGGAAAAATAATAAAAATTCATAAAATATATTAAAAAAAATAAAAATATTTAAATAATAATAATAATTTTAAAAAGAAAATAAAAATAAAAAATAAAAATGCAAAAAAAAATTCACTGAGCATCACCACCTCCAGTCACCATGGGAAAAAACGCCACATCCATTACGAATGCCATAAATTCAATAAAAATGATGACATTCTCAAAGAGTCATATGCCATTTTTCTGACATTTTCAGAAAAAATAGTAGCTTTTAGAAAAAATAATATTTTTTACACCAGTAGGTGGTGGTGGTGCAGGCAGTACAAGCGGTGGGAAAGGCATCCATTTTTTCAATGGATTTTTACTATTTTCTATTAATGTTCAATTTTTTTAAGAGGAAAGATTAAGATCAGATCAAAAGGATTCACATCATACCAGAAAAATTCAGATCAAATCAAATTAGAAAGATTCAAATTAGATCAGAAAGACTTAGATCGGATCAGACCGGAAAGATTGAGACCAGATCAGAAACATTCAGATCAGATTAAACTAGATCTTAAAAAAATCAGATCAGAAACATTCCGATCATGCGAATAGAACAGTTTCTTGGTCACTAAGTAATTACCCATATGTATTCAATTTTGTAAATGTCATCTCCAATTCACCAAAACTTTGTAAATATGGCTTTCATCGTCAAAATTGAATTAACACCAATTTTTTGTATCTTTGACACAATAAAAAATATATTTACGTTTTCATTTTCAAAGATCTTCATACCAATAATTTTGTTTCTAAAGTTATGCCACAGGAAAAATGCCCGCCTACAAGAAATTAAGTTTACAAGCAACAAATTTCTGGCAGTCACAAAAAAAAATCGGCCGAAAGTTGTAATTTTTTAAACTCATTTTCAACAAGTACCTCAACAGACTTTTACTAGGATGTCTTTAACTCATTCTTAGATGGTAACATCAAAGTATCAAACAACTTTTACATCTCTAATTTTAGAGATGGTAAGGGAGTGTCCTCAATATGAATTTTAATCGACTTAGAATCCCATCAAAATTAGGGTATTCTAAATTTTGATTTCCATGAAATCTATTAAAACTCAGACATCCTTAAACATTTCATGGATTCCACTTTTTTTTGTGAAACGGAACTAAACACTTTTTTTAAACTAATAAATCATTCGCCAAATGACTTACAATGCAATCCGGTATAAGGCTATAACTCCAAGCATGATCTGAGATGGTAACGTGCATTCTGGCCAAGACATGAGCCACACGATTCGCAGATCGATTACAAAAAGAGATCACATAACTGCTCTTTTTGAAGTAAAAATCGGATATCATCTATAATAAGATCAATATAACTGATACCTCCCCCTGATTGTACACCTCTAACGATTGTTTATGCATCCGTTTCAACCTCGACGTTCTCCCATCCTCTCGCTATAGCTTCCTGATTTGCCTCCTGTATTCCGAAACATTCTGTTTCTGCCGGGGACTAGTCTGCCTTACAAGAAGGTCCCACTGCCTTCACAAAATCGCCCTGCTCATCCTTGGCGACCCAGCCCCAGGCTCTAACTCCCCCTGGGTGATCAACCGCCGCATCCACGTTTATCTTGATACCTCCCCCCTTGGCCTCTTTCAGCGCTGATTCTTCTCTCTTCCTCCCATTATCGGCTTCATTCCAGTATGTTGGGCATCTCTCCAAGCATGTAGAACACCCCGACCCCGTAGGCCCCAAGGTAGTTACTCCATACTCTCTCCGGACTCTAGTATTGTCCTCACAAACTGCCACTAGCCTTTTCCGCACACTTTGTCCTCACTCGTGCGCGCCGTGAGAAACTTCTCATTGGATCACCCATCCCAAGACTACTCCCGTGCAAGCACGCTTAACTTTAGAGTTCTTAGCTAATGAGCTCCCTTAAAATGAGATGCACCTTGTTGGTATGAGTAGTACTATTAATCCGTTCAAATTAAATCTCGAGTATTACAATCACCCCACTTAGGAATGCAACGTCCTCGTTGCGCCCATAAACCAATCTC